AGCATATCTCTTCGAATCAGTTAGTGACACCATTTTAAAATGTTGAAGTCTGCTGTCATATGAGTTCAACTTGTTTGCTACCCCGTTGAAAAAACTAAGTGCCGTGTAAATCGCTTCTGCAGTCGTTCACTTCTTAAAAAGTGCGTTGAGTAATGTGGTCGCCAAACCACACTGCCATACTCCAAGATAGTTCTCACAAGACTATTGTATAGTAAAATTTTAGTACTCGGCTTAAAAATTCTCCTACAAACACGGATAATAAAACCTAACATTTTAGAAGCCTTTTTAATCGCCATATCCATATGGGGTACAAATGTAAGTTTTACATCTAGAATGATACCAAGATCTTTAATTGTATCTACTTCTTGTAACATAACTTTGTTGATGTGATACGTAGAGGGAAATATGTTAAGGTTTCGGGTGAATTTAATATGTTTGCATTTGTTTGCATTCAAACTCATACCATTTTTTTGGCACAATTCAGTTAAGCGTGTTATGTCATCCTGTAGGAACAACGAATCCTCTACAGAGTTCACTGCACGTATAAATTTAATATCATCGGCAAAAAGATATGGCGTTGAATTTTTAAAGCAAGTTGTTACATCATTAATAAATACGGTAAAAAGAATAGGACCTAAAATAGAGCCTTGTGGAACTCCTGAGGTAATAGAGTATTTTGTGACTGAAATACATTTAAGGTTACAAAAGAAGACCGTTTTTGCAAGTACGATGCGAACCACTGAAGCATTGTGCCCGACACTCCATAAGACGAAAGCTTTTGCAGGAGTTGAACATGGGACACCCTATCGAAAGCTTTGCTTAGATCCGTATATATAGCGTCTACTTCATAACGTCTGTCAACTGAATCTATAATAGAATTGGTAAAGGTAACAAGATTTATTACAGTTGACCTTCCTTTGACAAAACCATGCTGATGAGTCGTTATTATGTTCTTAAAATGGTAGTTAATAAACGGACAAACGAGGTCCTCGAAATTTTTTGCAAATTGGGATCAAATTGATATTGGGCGGTAGTTACAGACTAATGTTTCGTTTTCACCTTTATGTACAGGAACGATTTTTGCTTCTTTCCACATTGTTGGGAATTGACCAACGCTTAAAGATTTGTTATATATTGAAATATATTTAAATGCCTACGAGAACTATACACACTTACTAAACTTGTGCCAAAAAAATAAATACGTGTTACAGCATTTTATAAAATTCATCTTATATGGGGGTAAAATAGGGGATGAAAGTTTGTATGAAACCTTGGTACCTACCTTTTTAAATATTTTATTGCAGTTTTAGCGCGAGCGAAGCCGCGGGTTCTGCTAGAATTCTATAATTATGAAGATAATACTTGACAATAGGTAATCGAAGTCATAACTAAAAATTTTCATTACAAATAACTTCTGGCAAAACTAAAATTTTAGTTGTACTCTTAAAATATTAGCCGCTAAGTTCTTCATTATGTTGCTATTTACAGAATATATAGATCATGATAAACATTAAACAATATGTTATTGTTTTATAAATATTATAGGTATAAATAAGTACCTATTATATTTTTTAATTTATTTAATGAAATGTTAGTCAAAAACTAATTTTTTAAATCGAAAAAATGTGAAAAATGCGGTCGTCTTTTTGGTGAGAAAAAAACATATCTCAAAAACGAAATGAGCTGTCGAAAAAAGAAAAAAAATCCACGGATCTCGTGTCTGCCAAGACCTTCGGGTACATTGAAAATGAATTCCAAACGAGCAGTTATTTTAAATATATTAATTACTAGCAGAACCCGCGGCTTTGCCGACGTTGAAACTACAAAAATGTCTTTGGCTTTATGTTATAACTAATATTTATAATTTGACGGCTGTAATGATTTTCAAAAGTGTGAGTATGATTTTGACTCGCGCATCAAGAGTTCCGTACCGCCGAATAAGGTGTTGTTTTTACTAAAATAAAATGTTTACGCGATAGATACTTTAGTATTTACAAAAAATAAATTTGTGTTTCATATTATTTCTTAAAGATATTACGGAAACACATTAATTTTAGCGATCGTAACTCAAAATATTCAGTATCTTACAGGATATTTAACATATATTCTGTAAATTCATTTTCGTTTAAAGTATTTAGCAAGCTCCACTACCGCTAAACACACAGTGGCCACAATAATTTTTGATAGATTACTCGCAGTCTTATCCCGTTACACAGCTTTAGTGATTTATTCATAACAGGTGTGTCAACCTTCAGAGGGACAGAACACTGTTAAGGATTATTAAATATTAACCGTTAAATATATATTATATTAAGTGTTAAAACGTATCCAGGAACGAACCCGGGCGGAGCGAGGGTGATTCGCTAGCACGGCTAGCATATATATAAAAGGCTTTGTCCTGACTGACTGATGGATCAACGTAAAAAAACAAACTGTTAACTAACGCGCTAACTCTCTTTCACTTTAATCTATCTTTGCCATTATTGTCTGACAAATGATATATAATATTATATTCTTTCCTTCTTTTCTTTCATTGCGGCCACTTTTACATAGGTGAGAGGTATTTTATCATGCACAGAAAAAAATTAGCTTTAGTTTGATATATAAATGATGAATATACGCCATGAACGTATAAATGTAACAAAAACATCTTTAATGACTCGCAACCACTTTTGGGGCCACTTTTACATAGGCAGACGTAGTTTACCAGGTACAGAAAAAAATTAGCTTTAATTTAATATATAAATGATGAACATACGCGATGAACGTATAAACGTCCCAAAATATGACCCGCTTACACCTGGCTGCGAAGAGGTTGCGGCCAAATGCGCAACGGCAGCTATCATTTTTCAAGATCTCTACGTATAGTTCTGTGAAGTGGAGTATAATCCATTGTAATAACAAATGCATCGTTTTTATTCCAAAAAGTCAACTATTATTTAGTTAATTAAACATACTATCGGGCACATTTGAATAGGCACCCCGGTAAAAAACATTAGTACCTATGTCCCCCTTATTATTGTATATAAAAAAATTATTTCGATTAAATACGCTATGAACGTAGCAATTTTGCAGTGGGATCTTAGTCCATGGGTAGAAATAGTTCCAATGGATAAAATTACTACAGATAAACTTCGCAACAAACTAGACATTTGTCGTCTAGTTTTTTTTTTTATTTTTTTTTTATTACACTATGTATAGATAATTATTTTACTAGCCTATCTATCTATCTGTCTTTTGCGTTCTATGTGACATTGGAGAAGTAATTGGTGCTAATTTATAGCTTTAAATCCATTAAGTTTTGTATTAAGTAACCTTTACAATATTTCTAATGGCCAAGAACCAGTATTCACGACGGACACAGCTATTAGGGAATTTGGACACCAACGACCTGATTTTCAGGGGGAAACAACATCTTGCCTTCAATAGCTGTGCAGAGCAGAGCGCTAGAACTAAATGCTCAAAAGGATGGAAATTCTTAATTTACGTAATAACAGTGAAAATCACTCGCGTTTATCCAAATTCTTATGACTGCGAAAAGTGCCCCAATATTTTATTAAAACCCCAATATTTTCAGATTGTAACTTAAAATTATAAATGCCAAAGGTATTAAGGTAAGGTATGTAGGTCATTAGTTCTCGTGTATAATAAATACTGGAAATAATTGAATTTCGTGTTTTTATTATAAGCATAGTTAGATTAGTAAAAAAGAAAAAAAAACACTATGCAGATTTTTTATTATTTATTGCATCTTATTACAATGTTTTATTTATTATTAAATAAATCATTAATAAATATCAATAACTGTTCTAATATATATATGTATGCACAATGTACATATTCGTAATAATATTTTACAACAACAATATAGATTAGTATAAACATTGCATTTTGACGGCACGAAGACTAAATAGAAAATATCTATTAATTCTAACTTCCCTCTTTTTGAATAAAAATAGTATAATTACAATTAAAGGAATAATTAAGTAAATATAGTTTAGCAGCAACACAACATATTATATTAATATTAAGATAACATTAAATTATAATCATAATTTTAGCAGCGTAGCTACCAATTTATGGCGAAGAAGATTTAAGACACCTAGTTACCCTTATTGTTAGACACCTACCGGACGCTAAGTCTACCACCGAGACAAAAAAAGGTGGATTATAATTATAAATAATGTGTTAAAATAAAGTTATGACATGTCAAAAATTTTTCACTTTTGAATATAAATTAGTCTGCGATACCTTTATATTTATGGAGGCATCGCAGATTAGAGTTAAATATTAGATCCTCGATGGTCGAGGTACGTGTTTTGCTAAAGCTAACGATGATTATAATTTTAAATGTCTTAAATGAAATTACAATGACTCTATTTAAATACAGAGCATTTTAAATAATATTCTTAACAACTCCTGGTTCCTTGGATGTAAATAATAAACACCATCACTACTCACTTGACAAATCGAACAGATATTATTGATGCTAGGAACTATGTATATATATCTCGGACATCAGCTAGATAGATTATTTAATTTCTAATTAAATTGTAGTAACATCGCTTGCAATTAACTATTCATATCATATTATATTCAGTTCTGTTCACTATGCGTTCAACATCGACGGTTGGTCGCTGCGATCGTAGTAGGTATTTATTAGTTGCAGTGGTCTATTGCGTGTGGTCTATTAGGCTTAATATATTCCTCGAAGCCTTCTTTAAGAAAATTTTAAAAGTTTACGGTTTAAAATGAATTAGCGACTAATCCTCATTTCATTCGATTATATGCCAAGTTCCTATCTATGCATTAAAATTCATCCAAGTTCGTTGTTTTAGCGTTAAAGAGACATAAACATACACAGTACACAATATAGACATATTTCTCAATGGAAATCTTAGTACGATTTGACTTTGTTTAAATATATATTATAAAGTGCTGTAATACTCTACAGTAGGTACGTAGTTATATATACATACATGCTCTTTAGTAATGCCTTACAAAACAGATATGTATTCAATGACCCAACCCGTGCCCCCGTTATTCATAGTAGTAGTAAACGCTATTTTCACATAGTTATCGTCAGTTATGTAGTTTGCGGGATATTCAGAGCAGAATGTGGAAATCGTGTTTTGACTTCTATCAATAATACTCAGATAGTTCTGATCACAAATGACGCCTAAATCAAATACTAAGAAACGTAACATGATGCGTGTACCTACCGGTGTTTCAATTTCCCATTCGCAGGTTGATGTTTTTCTATACTCATTAGGATAAAACGGACTCGTGAATAGTCCTGAGTCACTAAAGAACTGACCACCACATCCTCTGCTGTTATTCGTGGCGACGTAATTTAAGTCATAAGCTATTGCCTGTCCTACTGGATATATATGATTATGTAAGAGCATATATCTTTGTGTAGACATAATAGGATAATAATCAGTATTATAATTATTATTAATTTTAATAAGTGAGTGTGCGCTTGTAGTGTTACCGTCGAAAATTTCTAAATATGGATCCTCTGCCCAATACGCACGAGTTATTGATATAAAATAAATGGATATTGTGTAGTTTTCAGGTGCTGTGATTAAAGTATAACAGTCTTTAGAACTATCGTCATTTCCAAATATAGTTTGTGCTTGTATTCTCGCTTGCAATTCTGTGTAGTTTCTGCCACATATTCCTACATAAGATATTTCAATTTCGAATCCTCTATGTACAGGAGTGGTTTCGCCAGTAGTTTGTATATTAATATTAGAACTGCCAGTTACGTAGTAGTCGATAGATTTTTTAACGCCACATAATTCAAAACGTTTTGGATAACTTATTGCTGTATCATAATAGTTTGAAGCACGTGCAAGGAAATCAGATAAGCCATCATTTAAAATATAATTTTTTCCTAAACTTTCATTTAGTGGAACGGTATGGCTATATATGAGTAGTTTATCTTTACTACAGATATTGTCGCTTCCAGGTTCGAGATCGAGATTTTTAATTCTTATATGTATAGTTGAGTATGGTTCAGAACTTGCATCTAAATGATAACTACAATATAAATTTCGAGGAAGTAAGCCTGTGTCGTAACCTGGCGATTTCAAAGTCTGTACTTGGGTTGATATTTTGTAAGTAGATTGACCGCAAACTGAGGGTATTGATGATAATACCGCTTCAAAACCAGAACTTGCTAGCTCTCCGTCAGTGAAAAGTTTAATAGTCATTATATTATTAGAAGACATTATCTGAGGAGGTAAATTATGCCCACAGTAAGTATCTATAACTAAACTATTTGGATTATCTCCATCTATTAATTCTACATAATCACATTCACATTTTCTAAAACCAATAGCTGTTTGATTAACGCCAGGGCAGGAAGCGATATGGAAAGCTGTAAATTCCACTTTAATAACATGATCTACTGGTGATTTTATAACCCAATAGCAGTCTAAGTAATTTTCATAAACAAAATTGTTTCCAATCAGAGGAGATTTCACATTTGCTCTTGATTCGGTCAGGTTTATGGTCCCGCCGCAGCCAACTAATTCTGAGTAAGTAAAAAATATTGCTACTTTGAAATACTCATCTTTTGCAATAGAGTTCGATGTAAATTGTAATACCATTTTATTACTTTTTCCTTTAATATATGTTGTACTGTTTACACGACCGCACATCAAGGCCAATCGTTTTTCATCGTCTATAAACGGACCATCGTAAACTGCTAGACTTTCAGAGTAACACTCAAAAACGCTTTCAAGATTTATATATATAAATTTCATTGTAACTACTTTATTTTGTGGAGCTTCAATTAACCACGTGCAGTTCGTATCTTCCACATATATTTGTGAAATCTCTGGAGCTAAAATAGTAGGTTCTTTAATTGTTCCTCCGCAATTAAATAAAGCGTACGATAGCTTAAAACCTCTCTTATTAATGTAACGGTCAGTTTTGAAAGCAATTATAGCATCATTCAAAGATTTAAATGTTGGAGGCATTTCTTTTCCACAATATACCTTCAGTTCAGCAGAGTAATAACTTTTATAATTTATTGTTACATTATCATATTCACATTCTGGGTAAGACCCTTCCAGGTCAAAATCTATAAATTTGATTATTATTTTGCTGTCCGGTTTTGACTTAATTTCATAAGTGCAATCCAGAGAGTGATCATATTCGGAGAAGTAACCTGGGCTGTACAAGAATTGTTCTTTATCTTTAGCTTCGTATGTTCCACCACAAATAGGATTCCATTCTGCTTTGAAACCATCTAAAGTAATATTAGCATCTGTTCGAAATACTACTTTCATTTGATTCGATGTCGAATTAAATGCAGGGGGTATTACGCGACCGCAAATTTTGCTCATTTCATTAAATTCATTTTCTTTGAAATCATAAATAATGATAGCATCTTTGGAACAATTTTTCGTGTCTTCGATCACAAAACGGTCTGTAAAATGAAGAGAAATTCTGTAACCTGTTTCTGCTTGAATTTCCCATACACATTCTTCATTATTTAGATAATTGTGGGGGTAATTTGGAGAAGTAAATGATCTATCATAATGCGTTAGATAGCCTCCACACTGTGCAGTAACAGTTTTAACAAGAAGCTTAACATTATTTTTGTTAAATAGTTTGGAGTAATAGCGAACATATATATGTTTAAAGCCAACTATAAGAGGTTTTTCTTGAGTTTTGCTTTTACAATAATTACCGATGTCGTTAAATATCTGACTTAATCCTTTATATATCTTTAATGATTCATCAGAGCAGTCTAGGTTAAATGTTCCTTCTAACTTTAACTCTACTCTCACGCCAACGGGTGCAATTATAATCCATGCACAATCAATCGTCTTGTTTAGAGCTTCAGGTACATCTATAACGTTGACGACATCTTCTTTAGCATAAACTATTCCTCCACATGGATTTAAATTCCAACTAAGGTTAAACCTAAGAGGTCTTATTTTGAATTGACTAGCTTTAATATTCATATTGGAAGCAGGGATGCTAAATGTTACCTCAGTATTATTACCACACGCATTTCTAATAAACGAAACTTCTCCGGCAACTACAGCTGCGTTGATAGTAAGTTGAGAATCGGATATACGACATATATTACTATTGGATGAAGTAATTTTAATATTGACAGATATTGTGTTATATTTGTATTTTGTGTCTACGTATGTCTCGGTGTTACTATACCTCCATTCACAAATAAAATTTTCTTGCAAATCTGGCGATTTTAATTCACCTTGAATGCCATTTAGGTCACCGCCGCATAAAGCTGGTTCATCTGAAGAGAATTTGGCATTGAAACGATGTGTTTGTTTGTTTCTTATACCAATGGCCACGTACAATAATAAACGGTGAGCTGTAGACTTAAATACTTGAATTGTTCCTGATGAAATATTTTGATTTATTAAAGCTATAGGACAAGCATATGTCAGATCATTAAAAGCACCTATAATGTCGGATCGATCATAGTCAAGAAGCTCTATTTGCACCCGACGTGTCACATCTGGTAATTCAATGCTCCATTGACAATATCGTAACGAAGTTTCACGGGGGTAACCGGGAGAAGTCAAATACCCCTCTGACGCTTTTATCGTTCCACCGCAGGTATTTCTAGATGAATTAAAATTAAACCTAAATCCCCTGCTGTCTGACACTTCAGTCCATTGACTCGGTTTCCCCAATTGAAATTTTACTGTGAGATTATTGGTAATTGTTTCAAATGACTGTGAATAGTCTATAAAGTCATCGTCACAAAATTGTTTTATAATAACATTTTCATACGTGCCATTGGATGGTACTAATTCTTCAAATGTCAATTTTGTTTCACATGGTTTTTCAGATTCTGGCAGCTTAGTATCTTTTAAATATATCCGTATTGTGTGTCTTGGTATTGATATTATGTGCCATTTGCATATTGTACCCCACGGCATTACTAACATGTGTGGATATCCAGGAGACGATATTTCTCCTGACTTAGCGACAATAGTGCCACCGCAGACATCTATTGATACATTAGCCTTAAATCCATTTTTAGGCTCTGCTACTTGAGTAGAATATTTTATATACATAGCATTATTTGTAGTTTTAATAGTTTCCGGTTGTTCTTTGCATAACCGTTTTTTAAGTGGAGATAATTCAGAAATTCCATCCCTTATTTCAATTGATTCGGAAATGCACTCATCCGATGTTTCTAATTTAAAATAGCCCATAAAATCTATTCTTAAAATTTCTCCCGGTGGTCCTGTGAATGTCCAAATGCATTCTGTGTAAGGAATAGGAATAGATGGATAATTAGGAGAAGTAATAATTTCCCACTTATGATCATCAGTTAGAGTAGATGAAAATCCACATTCAATGTTTTCTTCTTTGTAAAGTAATTTAAAATATTGAAGCTTCCGGCTCGATATTATGTCTAATGGAACAGCTGCAACGTAACTTATATAAACAGCATTGCTAGACGATGTGATTGAAGTCCTATTTTCGTGTGAATAACCACAAAACTTTCCTGTACCTAATAACGGGGACTCCACATTTTCACCGTTTCGCAATATTAAATACGTAGTACAATCATTATCATTTGTTATATTAAAATGAATAAAATCTAGCTGGATTCTACGTCCTGGGCGGACTTTTACCGTCCAGTTGCATCGAATTGTGTGTGTAAGCTTAAAATCTACCTGAGTGATTTCAATTACACCTGATTTTTCTTTGTCTAAAGTTCCACCACAAACTGAACTAACGATGCCTTTAAATCCTTTTCGTGTTTCATAACTATCTGTTACAAATGTAACTTTTAACATTGTGGTAGATTCAAATTTTATTTTTTCATTCTCTGCAAGACATATTTTTTCTTTAATAGGGGTCCATTTATCTCGGATTAAAGAGAAAATGGATATATAATCTGCAAAGCATCCAGAAGTTTCTTCTAGGAGTATGTCATTAAAACTTAAGCTTAAGTGTCGACTAGCAATGGTGGAGAATATCCATTCACAGTTTAAATTGTTATTATATGTATTAGGGTAGTTTGGCGAATAAAACTCAATACTGTTATTTTCAGGAGAAATAAATTGTGCTAACGTGTGATTTCTAGAACCACAATTAAATTTAGAAATAGGACTGCTATCACCTATACTTCTACTTGATTCTGCCCATCGAATGAAAAAAATAGCACCAATGTTGGTAGCGTCTAAAGTTAACATAATATACACAACATTTGATGTAGATTGCAAATCTTGAATTTCATCGGCCAGATATCCACATAATTCACGAATTATCGGAGCATTTACATCGTAGCCATCGTAAATAGTTAATTTATTATTGCATACATCTCCATTTCTGATTAGCTCCAAACGGTCAATGTTGAGAGTAATAGTAGTCGATGAGCTTGTCATAATTCGCCAAGTATATTCACCTTGACCTTCGTATGGAGAAGGGTAAAGTGGCGAAGCAATCTCTCCACTTTTAAAGCCAGTGATTTCATTTCCGTGTAGAAAACCATAATGAAGAAGAAATCCTTGACCCGCGTTTTTATTGTCACTATGAAACTTTAAATATAGCTTTGATCCAGTTGTAGTGTTAATGGGTATATCATGTCCACAATAGACAGCTAACAATTGTCCTCCACCGTCATTTTCTCGTATCTCCAAATAATCTTCATTACAATTTTCAGAATACCCTAAATCGAAATTTTCAAATGTGATGTATACTCTGTTACCGGGAGCCGTCGACAATATCCACTCGCAATCGGCATTGCTTGGATAAGAACGTGGATAATTAGGGGAAGCAATAGCACCTTCTTCAGAACTTAAATGACCACCACAAGAACTCGTCAAAGTAGAATAATGTGCTGAGAATTGACCCGATAAAGTATCCGTATATGTACCTAGCTGTATTGTCATTGTACTGCCTTGACTAATAATTGCAGGTGGAACTTTACGTCCACAAAATTCTTCAATTAGAGGAGCAGTTTCATCATCGCCATCGAATACCTTGAGATAAGACGAATGGCATTGTCGATTTGTTATGATATCAGTTGATTTAGGTATTGAAATATGACTTATAGTAAGTTTTAATTTATCTTCGAGGTTTGGAGCTTTTATGACCCAAGTGCAATTGGTTTTATGATGACTTATAAAGTTATCATTTGAAATTACACCATCTGAATTTGCAGTTATTACAGCTCCGCATGTCATAGTAAAATTGGCTTTGAAACCTTTGGCAGATCCATAGAGATCACTAGTAAATTGTAATTTTACAGTGGAGTGATTCGATATAATTGGATGTGTTATATTACTTTTAGGACATATAAGAAGTGTATAATTTGAACTAAACGAATCGAAGCCATCATAAATTTTGATTGAATCACCACAGTCATCTTCATCATCTTCTCCTCCAGTATAATACAGGTCAAAACTAATGAAGTTTATTTCAATCCTATGGTATTTTGGCACTGACAAAGTCCATACACAATCTAAGTTATTGTCATAATTCATTGGATAGTTCTTGGAATGAATAAGTCCAAAGGGTGCGTTTATTTTACCTCCACAAGTAACTGGATTCGAATCGAAATGAGACATAAAATAAACATCTCTAATAGGTGATAGTTTCACTAGTCTTATTAATAAGAAATTCGAGGTCGCCTGTAATGACGTCTGTCCACGGTTACATATCTTTGATAATAGTGGAAAGTCTTTACTTTGACCATTATAAATTTCTAAGGCGTCTATAGAACAATTCTTAGCTGCTGTCATATACACTTCCGAAAATGTAATAGTCACTGCCGTACCAACTGGTGTTTCTATAATCCATTCACATTCCATCTCACCTGCTAAAAGCATATTTTTATCCATGGATACAACACCAGACTGCTTTTGTATATGACCACCACAACCAAAACTAACCCATTCTAAATGAAATCCGTTCCGAGGGTAATTATGTCCAGTTACAAATCGGATTTGCAAAGAATTACTTTTAGTAGTTATCGATCGTGGAAATGTTGGTCCACATTGTTTATCGGAATATTTTTCTTCAGATAGTTCTTTGAATTGTAAATAAGATGAGGAGCATCCAGAGACAAAAGGGGTCCTAAATCTTGTAATCATACCATATCTATGGTACCCTGGAGGCCAAGCAGGAAATTGTGGGTAGATGATGTCAAAATGAGTGAATGTTGCATTAATTTTATTACCTTTAGGAACAGTAATAGTCCATAAACAATCAGAATCAACAGGATACTTGTTTGGAAAGCCAGGACTTTCAATTGCGCCATATCTACCACTAACATTGTTATTACAGATAGTATTGTAATTAAGAAGAAAACCTTTTCCGCTTATAAAAATGTCAGATCTAAATTTAATAAATGCATGATTACTTGAAGTTTCTACATTGTTTAGTTTTGGCGATAAAAAGCAATCTTTACCAAAACTTACTGAATTACTATCACGGCCATCAAATATTTCAACATAGTCGTCCTTGCAGTTTTGCGTCCTCTCTAAATCTAATACTGAAAAGCTAATTCTAATTCTTGTACCAGTGCTTGTAACAATTCTATAAAAGCATTCGGCATTTTCATTATAATTCTGTGGATAATTTGGTGATGATATTACGCCGGATGCCCCAGATAGTGTTCCCCCGCAGCCAGTGATCGTACCATCCCATTCAATTTTGAATCCCTTTCCACTTATATAAGCGTCTGAATGAAACTTGAGGTGCACACTATTAGCAGTCGTGATTATTCGTTTAGACTTAATGTAACCGCAGAATTGACCGATTAAAGCCGAGGTTTCAGTAGAGCCATCCCAAATGGATATGTAATCGGAAGTGTCACATTTTTCATTATACGGCCGCTCCAATTCTAAATTTGTAATATTTAACATAATTTGCTGTCCTGTGGGTACAGTTATGGTCCAGGCACAATCACGGTTTGCTTCATAGTTCAGAGGCCAACCTGGTGAATAAATAAAGCCATGCGATTTAACAAAAACTCCACCACAATGGGTTTTTTCATCTAAGAATGTATATGATAATGAAAATCCACCTAACCGCATGCTGATATCTGATTTAAATATTATTGAAATGCGATTTGAATACGTTGTAATAGCTGGAGGGAAAGTACGTCCACAATATTTACCCAACGTGGTATTATAATTATTTTCATCATATTCAACTATTTCAACATAGTCACTGTTACATGTTGGCATGTCTTCGACTTCAAATTTACTCCATTCTAACTTAATATGCATTCCTTCTGGAGCGATTAGCATCCACGTACAATATTGATTGTTAGAATATATTCCATCGATGGTAGAAGGATGGTTAATAATACCAGATGAGTTTTTGTAAATTCCTCCACATTCCGTATCTACAGTAGTATAATTGGCATAGAAACCTCTTCCAGAAATACTTACATCTGATTTAAAACGTATAAACATGAAATTATGACTGGATGTTTGAACCGGTGGTGTGGATTCAGAACTGCCACAATATCTTCCCATTAGCGTTGAATTTATTGATGGCCCATCTCTTACTTCAACAAAATCATATTGACAATTATAATATCTATTGTTTTCAATATCGAAATCTTGAAACATTAATGTAATCGCTTTTCCCGGTGTTGTACTAATAATATAATCACAAGAGGTTTGTTTTGGATAGTTCGTTGGGTATTCTGGTGACGTAATAGCTCCACTGTCCTGTGTAAACATTTTTTCACAAATTGATTCGTAACTGATTTTAAAACCCTCAGAAGCGACACTGTGGTCACTTCTAAATATTATAAACAGATCATTCGTAGTTGATATAAATGTTTTTGGATGCCTAGTATCACAAAACCTACCGACAAGACGTGAATCAGCCGAAGGACCGTCAAATATTCTTAAATAATCATACCGACACCTAAAAGATCTTTCTAAGTGAAAAAATTTAAACTCTATACGTATTTTTGTGTCTCTACGTGTTTTTATTTTGTACTCACACAGTAAATTAGGCAAGTAAGCATTGTTGTAAGAAGGCGAAGTGATTTCACCCTTGTCCGTTGTGAACAAACCTCCACATCCAGGCACTCCCTCAATAGGCGCGAAAGATATTTGAAATCCTTTGCCATTTCCTGATTTATCAGAATGAAAATGTAAAAGAATTTCAGAACCAGTTGACTGGACAGGGGCGGGTTGAGTTGAATTACAATATTTATTTAGAAGCGGATCAGTTGTATGTTCACCATCGTAAATAGCTAAATAATCAAAACTGCAATTCTGATGTGATTCAATATCAAATTCAAAAAAATGTAATTGTATTCTTTTACCAAGAGTTGTAAGTAAGTGCCAATAGCAGTCACGATTTGGTGGGTATTTTCCAGGCGAACCAGGTGAGCTTATGTGTCCGTGTACGCTTGCATCTATCTCTCCGCCACATACCGGGGCCACACTAGTCCAATGTAAAGAAAACCCTTCTTTAGCTACGGAATGATCCGATCGGAACCAAAAGTATAAATTGTTATGACTTGAAATAATATTGCCACCATTAGGAAAGTTAGTCCCACAAAACCTACCTATCAGTTGGCTTGCTGAGCTTCTGCCATCATGAATCTGTACAAAATCATAGTTACATGAAGGATGCTCTTCTAAGTTAAACTTGGTAAATGTAACATTGATAACTTTATCGGGAGCCGTATGAATAACCCAAGCACATCGTGCGTTGTCGGCATAAGTCGTGTTAGAGAGTGGATATACAATACTACCTTCTTCAAAATCAAGAAATTCGCCACACCGTTGTGAATGTACTTGACATAAATCACCCGAGTACAACGCGGTGCATTCACATCTGTATCCCTTTGGTGATCTCTCATCAAGTCGGCAAGTGCCGCCATTGTGGCACGGATTGTTAGTGCAAAAGTTGATCGGTTTATCGCAGTGTGCACCACCGTATCCTTGGTAACAAATACACGAGTAGCCCTGACTAAGTGTATGGCAATGTCCGTGTGGTCCACAGGGATTACTTTCACAATTATCGGTAGAATTAACGTCAGCTGCAACGTAACATCCATGAAGTCCGATTCCATCACCTATCATACCAGAAGGACACACGCACTGCGTCATTCCACTAACTGCCGAATTTTCCACACACTCAGCTGACGGATGGCATCCACCGCGATTCATAGAGCAAGAGCCACGCCATGTACATGTAACACCATCGCCTTGATAGCCAGGTGGACACGAACCGCAAATCCGAGAACCTATCGTGTTATGACACAACACCATAGGACTAGTACTACAGCCGCCATTTAATGTTAAGCACTCATCAATGTCGTAGCATGCAAACCCATCTCCTTCGTAGCCTTTGGGACAGGGCTCGCATCGAAATGATCCAGGCAAATTTACACAATCTACTCTCGGATTTACAGAACATCTTGCCTTTTGTGATGATTCACATTCGTTTACATCCGTTAAGCAAGCGACGCCTTTCCCATCTGTAGTCCAGCCTTGGTTACAAATGCATCTGATCCCTTCTCCTGACGTTGAGGGAACACAAATTCCATGGCCACACATTTCAAAGTCACCTTGAGAGCAATTTTTTTCAGTTCTAGTGCAGTCGATTCCATACCAACCTGGTTTACATATACATTCATATGATCCTGGCTTATTCAGACAAGTCGCGCCATTTTGACAGCCCAGATCAGTGCCGGCGTAGTTGTAGCATTCGTTAATATCTTCATCACAGTTGGGCCCTTTCCAGTTTGAAGGACATATGCAATAATAACCACTGATTAAATCCAAACAAGTACCTCCATTAGCACAAGGGTGCGAGCGACACTCTTCACGTTTGTTTAGTAAATTTTGCAAATAACGTACCTTAGTGTTCATATTCTGTACTCTTCGAGCAAGACGAGATATATTCAAGTACAAATTACTTGATAGACTGTTAGTCAGGGATTCCAAGTTTTGTATTCTTCTCAGTATATCATCCGATGGGATGGCATTGTTATTTACATTATCGTCGCTTATTGAAGGGTTAAAGTTAGTATTGCCAATAGTAACGTTATATAAGCTTTTATAATTCACATCTCCTAAGAATATCGTAGACCTTGGTCCATTTGTGTTTAGATAAATATTTTTGTCATAAGCAGGCTGTAGTACAAGGTTTCCATTCGATGATTTTATTTTTGGTCTTGTGTTATATATTTCACAATTTAAAAACTCACACCACACGACTATAAAACAACAGTATATTAGTAATTTGGACATCGCCACTGGTTCGCGACTGACAATGGCTGCAGACTGCGGCTTTACTAACCCTTTGTTAATGAAAATATTATAGGGGGCGTATTAATGTTTTTTTTATCGCAAAAGCCATGTGGTATTTAATTTGATAAGGTTTTTATTAAGTTAACTTTCATTATTCGACGAAATGTTTGGCTCAGTTTGTAGTGACCCAGCTTGTTATGTCAGCGGTCGCGGGTTCGAGGCCCGCTGGGGGGCATTCACTTGTGTGATTGAGATAGTTTACGTTTTCATATTTTTTACTGTCAAAATTTATGATTAAGAAAGCAAAAATATAAATAAAACATGATGAACAGGTACAAAAGTTTATTAGCAAAACGTCAAACTCAGTCAATTTCAACACAATTACGATTCAGTGAAAACAGGAGTGTTTAAATATATATAGGTATATACTATTTTTACAAAATATCCTAATCAAATTCTGAACATGTCACATACGTATAGACCAAAATAATAAATCTAGTATCGTTCGAAAAGGGGCCGTTTTATTTAAAAACGTGTTTGGTTGAATTGATTGTTTGGGGCGGTATAAGGAATTAGTTAGTTTGAAATAAATTATACCAGGCCATTTTTAATTTACTGAAAACCTTTTGGGAATATACTATTTACATCATAACAACAACATCTGTAAGAAAAAAATATTTCTTAAATTTTACAAAAATAAAAATATTTTTATTGCACCTTTTAAACGGTACTAGTCCAGCATTAGCAAAAGCGCGTGACCGATGTAGGGGGAGGCGTGTAGGGGGAGGCGTGTAGGGGGCGGGGTGTAGGAAGTGGCCCTTACTCATTTAAACTTGGCCAGATGCTAGAATTTAACAATTTAGAAGGTGCAATAATATTTTTCTTATTTTTGTATTACAATAAAGATTTAAGAAATATTATTTTTTCTTGTTTCAGATTTTGTTGTTATGATGTAAATAGTATATTCCCAAAAGGTTTTCAGTAAATTGAAAATGACCCTGTATATTTACTATTTAGTAAGTGCAGATCACAAAAACAACAATAGCGACAAGTATAGAAATGCGTATAAAATGTTGTCAGATATCGCTTACATTTATCTCTTTGCTTATACTAGAACCACATTAAGGCTGACTAACTAATCTATATATAGTCTTTTTTTCTGTTAAGTATTTCCTATTATAATTACTGCCTGTCGATCACTAGTGTCGTTTTCCATTGTTTTTTTGTGATCATTTATATACATATACATTGATGCATATTTACTACATAATTATATATATATATATATATATATATATATATATATATATATATATATGAAGAAATTTCAATAATATTGTATTATAAAAATTAGGTATAATTTGCTCAACAATTACATTTTAGACCTTATAAAACTAAAATCTTAAACGCACCTTAATTATAATTATTACCAAGTAATGATTGTGTATATAGAAAAAAAACCCGTTATAGTTTATCTGTTCACTTATTATTTCAAATTCACACATCATAAATAGAGTGAACATAAAACATACTTGAAATGCTTTAATAATATTTTTGCATATAAGATATTTATGTATTTATTTTAAAAAAATTGAAGAAGAACTTGAAATTGTAGCAAAATGTATGGTATCAACAAAATAAATAACTAAATTCAAGCGTTATCTTTCTTCTCTAAGGAAGTAATTATTATAATTAATCAATAAGTGTTCTTAAAAACATAAAAATTCGGACAAGTGCGAGTCGGACTCGCCCACCGAGGGTTCCGTACAAATTTGTAGGTATAATTTAGACCGCTTTGAAGTTTGAATACCTCACACGACACGGTTAACTCAATTCAAAATTTGGACCGCCCGCGCCGTTCCTTGCATAAGCACCCTGTTTTTTTATGATTTAATTACAAATGTATAGGTTTCAGATTTTTCCTATACTTGTAGTATATGACGGTATTACTTGCCAAATTTGATAGTTCTAGGTCAACGGAAAATACCCTATAAATGATTCCCTTGAGAGTATCTTTTTTTACGTTAACTTAGAAGTTTAGATTTTTTCACAGCTTAAAGAGACTGTACACAGGTAGTTAGGTATATCGTTTTAATTTCAACTCGATACCTCCCCTCCACGCGTTTCCGAGATAAAGACAGACAGACGGACGGACGGACAACAAAGTGTTCCTATAAGGGTTCGGTTTTTTTTTCTTTTGAGGTACGGAACCTTAAAAATAGCCTTTTAATTGGAGTAATCGTTGAATTTAGTTATTATTTATTTTTGGTGTAAAAAAATCACGAGTAAGTTCGTATTTTATATTATCATTTTGCTCACGTACTTCAAATTTTATATATATGGTGCGAATGGATATTATTATGTGAAAATTTATATATGAAGACATTTGTTTGTTCAGAGTTTATAATTTAATAAGGAGTAATTGTGCGTACTGCTGATGATATAAAAGATTATTTGTTACACTTAAGGCTAAATAGTCAACTAGTCAAGTTATTATAAAAATCGCAATTATCATACAAACTACGAGTATACTATATTAAGTAAGATAATTAATTTTATTTACAATAAATTCTTTGTTTATTTACAACATTTAGTTATCTATTCAACTAGATTTGAGGCACGAACATTGAAATAGCACCAAATCGAAAGTTTCTAATGGATATTGACAGGTTATAGGTACGTAGGGTACATTCTATCACATGAGTAAATATCTCCCACAGAGACAAAACTTCATAAAACCGTGTAACGATAGATATGTCGCATGGAAATTGTAAGATCCGTTAAATTATAGCTTTACTAGGGAAATTATAATTACCCGGAGTAATGTAAATCGTCTCCTTTTCTTACAATATCACGGGACATTTTTAGGTATATTATGATTACACTAGCGAATTTATAATTTCAGTTTTTACAATTTTCCTGCGATAGATATACGACTTAGCTACTTACATAGGGCAATAGCGTGTACGTTTTCTTTTGAGCGTAACGCGCTCATTATCAACGATTTAAGCCGGAAGAAACCGGTTTTGTCAACGGACAAACGTAAACTAGCCGGTGATCTGTCTCGCGTGCAGGCTTGCCAGTAGAGCTAACTTATTTTATACCGCTAGGTCACTCATATTATAATCCAAATCAAATTTTATTATACATACAAATTAATAAAACTGTTGAGAAATAGTCTGTGACGAATAAAAAAATCAATAAAAATACGTAATAACTTAAAATGAAATATATATAAAATAACCATACTTTACAATTTTCCTATCCAATTATACGATCTGGCAGACCTGCTCGCGTGTAGTAGCGTACCTAGCGTTACGCGGTTGCATGAAGTTTCGTCTCTATAGGGATACTTATTTGTTTCCACGAAATAGTGTAACATGTAGCCATACATATCCCTATACAAAATAAATGCCATAAACAAGATTAATTAATCATATAATGATACGAAAAAGAAGTATCGTTTTACGTAATTTGCTTGTTCAAATAATATGTATTTATTATTTGATTAAGTTTGTTCGTATTAAAGGACGAATTGTGTACACCATGAACAAAGAATTCGTTCACACATAACATTTCGTTACACAAACCGGAGCAGACTCTAGTGCAGAGGAAAATTATTTTTCGTACAATTAGAATTTCTTTATTAACATATAAAATATTCCTCATGATAAGTTAAGAACTAGGAAATCAACTTGCAAAATCAACAAACACTACGCATATCAGAATTTATTAATGATTTTAAATATTATTTCAACGCAAAAGCTAACATAATATTTGTGTGAAATATTATTCATATTATAGAAGTAACAAGTCAAATCGCGATTGGCACACAGTACATACAAAAATAAATTACATATCTAAAAAAATTACGTGTTTTTGTTTTCATTTATTGATTTTTTTTTAATAATAAGGAGAGGTATATACTACATATAAACTAATATATTATAAAATGTATTGTTACTTTAAGCTACATATAGTTATGAAACGCGCTGAGTGAACTTTTGTATGGGAAGGATAAATTGTACTATTAAAGAATAGTTTCCTAATATCGGTATCCATTTTATACTTATCGCAGTATCGCTGGATGATTCATAACATCTGTACGATTCCTAAATATTCTATCCGCCCCCCGAACATGCAACGTATTTGATATCGCGTCTGAATTTGTCACGAATAATTGTATCATACAAAGACCATTATCACGTTAAGTAACGAGATATACTAAATTTATAAAGTTTTATTCAGAAAAAAAAAACATAATCTCGAAGTTATTAAAAAAGCATTTTGAATATTACAGTTATTTTTTCGGTTAATTTTGCAATTTTATTTATATTTTAATGAATGTTTTAAAGCGAATTTCTGCAGTCGGAGCAGTCTCTAACGCGACAATGTTTGCTATTCTAAATGTCCGGAACTGAAGATTAAAAATAAAGATAAAGTCACGAAAACATGCGAACAAATAGTTTTACGAGTATTTAAAATGCAAAATATTCGCGTAAAATGAAAGTATTAGATGGCTTTCTTGTTTGTTAAGAATTTTAAATACAAAAATACTATTACTACGTAATAAGCCTGAGGAGATTGTTTTTGTCAGTTTGAACGCGTTAAAATTAGTAGTATACAAAAAATAACTAAGCGAGTAGAGTCGCGGCAAGAACTTACATAGCTTTTTAATATAAATAAAGTGAACGTGTATTGATCGTACGAAGTCATCCCAGTCTGGTATAAGCCATAATAAAAATATTTCATGAACCATTTAAAACGACCCATGCTTTGTACACAAGTTGTATTTTGGACATGCTTTACTTTTTTTAATGAATTTTAGTTATTTCTACAACAACAAAAAAAAAAACAAATATTGATTTCTACAGAAATGATTAGAATTTTTACAAAGCGCTTTATCGAACTATACGTTATGAAAAAGCGAAGCGTTGAAAAGGAGACACTCAATTCGAGCGTCTTTGTGTATTGTCAAGAGTGATAAATTTCAAAAAAACTAATATGCTTAATAGTAAAATCTTTTTAGTTAAAAGTTATATATTTAATTTAGATTAAGTTTAAATTTTAGTCTTGAAATCTTTATAATAGTTATAACTTTAGCTAATTTAGTTGACCAAAGGTATATATATTAATTGATATAGTTTTAGTCTATAAAAGTTATTCTATTTCGAAATTTTTGTAGTTATATTAATTATTAATTAATACATAAATCGAATTAGTGATAAGAAACTTGTTACATTCCTATTTATAAACTTCTAAGTAACACATACAGTAATTTGTTAAAGAACTGTTTAAACAATTTATATTGGCTCCATTCAAACACAATAAATATGTGCGATTGTACGTTTGAGAATAAAATTACAGCTCCGAAATATTTATTGTGGGACGACATGAAACTTGAAACTTTCAACCATTTACACTGTATGGAAAAATTACTATACTTAGCTTATCCTTGTTTAATTATAAAGTCATATTACCCACCTGGCTCATTTTGGGCAAGTGTGTACTCAGTAGAGGCCCAATTAATACCCCGCGAGAAAGCTTCATACAATAGCATAAAAATAGGTATATTACTCATCGATCAAAAAAGTATTTGATACACAATCAGTGACAAAAAATGTCCTCACCGAATAAGCGCTCAATTGAACATTTAAACGCGCTTTTAATTATATTTTTTTGTGAAGACAACTTTAAGCATTGCATTAAAGGTGCAACTTACATTGTTGTATATTAACTTCAAATAGAATAATTACCTAAACACAATTAATTGGTGACAGTTTTAAGAGAACTTTTGCATGGGATTGTGTATCTAGTACTTATTTATCGATGATGTTACTACATAAAACGTCGGTGTGCGTGTGTGTAATATTGTCAACAGTTCAAGCCGGTATAAACCGGTTTTGTCTACATGTACTTGAACTCTATGGTGAGTTGTCACACACGACCCCATTGCGTAGTGTAGGTTTATCATTGTGCGGTTGTATAAAATTTTATTTCTGTACTCATTCATGTTAGAGTATGGGCATGGGGAAGTATAACATTGTTAACACAGTGACGATTAAACGAGATGGCATTTGACTTTTTACGAGTCAAAATCAATTATTACACATAATTATAAACTCAAAGTATTAGATATCGATTGATAACCAGCAAACGTAAATGTAACATCACGGAAAGAAAAAAAAATATTTTTTTAATTCAGTTTAAAGGTATCGTTTGATTTATGACATTACATTATGCTCACGTGGCTTGAAGTCAGTCACATTAGGTGTCGGTGCGGTCAGTAGAGCAGCGGGTGCGGCGCGGGCGAGGGCGGCGGCGCGCGCGCGTGCTCGGGCTCGGACTCGTTGGCGTCGGTGGAGGCGGGCGTGGGCGGCGGCGGGTGCGTGCGGTAGTGGCGGTAGGCGCGGCGGCGCGGGTGCGTGGCGGGCGACGGCGGCGGGTTGGCCGTGGGCCGCGGGTAGCGCCCGCACAGGCTGTCCGACGCCGACGCCGACACCGACGCCGACGCCGACGGCGTGCCCGACGCGCTCGTCCTGTTCCTCATCAAACATGTGGCGTTGTATTACATTGCTTACACATTACTGAAGTGAATTGTTGTATTAAATGTTCTTTAAGACATATTTGTTCATAGGATATAATTCCTATTATACATATCGTATATTTATATTTTTTGACATTAATTTATTTTTTTTGAATATTTATCGCACAAATATTCTCTTATTCTCGCTTCATTATTAAATAGATACATATGATGTGTATGTATATGATACGCAATGTAATGTATATGTACCAATCTAGTGTACGAAACAATGGTCACTGGACAATATAGTCAATGCTAAAGGGTGTTATAGCATTGCATATAAAATCACAATTATGTAAAATAAATAAAAAATTAACTTATAAAACTGACTGTATAATCTCTACGAGGTGTCCTTGCATTGCACCAAAAACACAATTCCATATAAGCAAGTAGTAAAGTGAGCAAGTGTACTGACTGCGAGAAGGCGCAGTGCGGCGCGAGCGGGTCGCAGACGCCGGGCGGGCGCGGCGGGTCGGGCTTGCGGCGCGGCGGCGCGGCGGCGCGCGGCGCGGCGCGGCGCCGCAGCCGCCGCAGCGCCGCCCACGCCGCCGCCAGCGCCGCGCCCGCGCCCGCCGCCACGCCGCACGCCACCAGCGCGTGCGACGACCGCCCGCTCGGGGACACCACCTGTCACAATACACACACACCACCTCGTTAGATACATAATATATGGGGCATTCCGCGCCAAATCGGACGGTTACAATTTTTTTTATTTTTGATTTTCTGAATATTTTAATATTCAGTGATAAAAAATATCTAGAAATTTACCAGGAAGCCTCTTTTGAGAGTTACTAAAAATCGAATTTGGCATGGAATGCCCCATATGTAGGGTGGAATAAACGAATATAAGTTTGGGGTAAGTGGTGCTTGTGTATGTGTCTATTACCATTTTCCCCGAAAACGGTTTTTTGCTTTGCATAAGTTTCAGTCCTGAGCATGTTCTTAACTAAGTTTTATAATGTTATAGACGGCTAGGGGGCGCTACAGTATACACATGTTTCTCCAAAACGGTTATTTTATTTAAATAAATGTATTGCATTCACTAATAAAATTAAAGTAACCCACAAGTAAGTTACGTAATCCACAAATAAAACAAATAAAAAACCCACGACGGAAAATTGTAACATGAAAAAAACTTCAAATAAAAAATTTCAAAAACCAATGACATAAAAGTCTACGACATAGGTTACGCACGACGGCTATTAATAATGTTCTATTTTACGCTTTTATGTTTGTATGGTTGTGCATGTACGCTTGTATGGTTTTTGATATATGTTATTTTAAGTTTTTATTATATGTATAAACATAAAATATATAAATATCATACCTGATCCTTATGCACGTATCCGCATGTGGCGGGCGCCTCGTCGGAGCCGTCCTCGCAGTGCGCGCGGCTGTCGCACACGAATTTCATCGGCAGGCAGAGCCGCTCGTCGCATCTGTACAATGTGTTTTAATTTTTAATTGTTGTAGTGTTTTAGTGTATTACTAATGTTATTTAATTTGTAAAAATGATATAGCCGTTAGACAAATAAGACCTTTGTCTACAAAAAAATAATAGAAAGTCAATCTAACCGGAAAGCGTCAGGCAGCGGCTCGCTGGCGCAGTAGGCGCCGGCCGCGCAGGCGCCGAGCGCGGCGGCGCACGTGCCGTCCGCGCAGCGCAGGCCGGCGCACGGGTCGCAGCGCGCCTCGTCCGACCCGTCCGCGCAGTCGCGCTGCCCGTCGCATCTGTACGTATACATTATACACTCATTGAGTCATTTGATGAGGAGGTCATACAAACTATAGAAATAAAGCATGTATAGTTTTCATAAATGTAAGCAATTAATTCCTTAAAAATCGTATTATATGTAAGGTTCTTATAAAGTTATAGTATTCTACATTGACATACATACATACATTTGTATGTTACTTTTAATACAACGCCTGTTTACCAAAATCGATTTTGTATTTTCATTCATCAATTCTTTCGTATTTTAATTAATTTATTATTTTTTGTGTTCAATCTTTACAAAATTAAATAAAAAAATATTTAATATTACGTCACTCGCTAAGTTTCAGCAGTTCTATCTAAATTATGTATTTACTTAAACACCATAAACAATGTAACACAACTAACTTCCACTCTATGGGTATGCACTGCACGTCGGGCGCGGGCGAGGCGGGCGCGGGCGCGTCGCAGGCCACGTGTCCGGGCGCGCAGGCGCGGCGCGCGTCGCCGCAGCGCAGGCCGCAGCCGCAGGCGCCGCCCGCGCCGCACGCGCCCGGCTCGCCGCCGCACGCGCGCCCGCCGAAGCACGGGTGCTCGCGGGCCACCTGTAACGCAATGTATTTTATTTGGTAACAGTTATCTATACTAATATTATAAAGAGGAAAGATTTGTTTGTTTGTTTGTACCGTGTAGGCTCCGAAACTACTGAACCGATTTAGATGAAATTTGGTAAGAAAATAGTTTGAGGCCCTAGGAAGGACATAAAACGGAGACGAAAGTTTATATGGGAAGTAATCTAGGGACAAACCCGGGCGAAGCGAGGGTGAATGCTAGTATATAAAAAAACGTGCACACTAGTTAGGAAAATTTTACAAATTACATTTAAAACAAAATCATATAAATACAACAAAGAACTAGTACAAGCTAGATTTACTTAAGAACAATAAAATTTTAAGGAGCACAAACAGCTACATAATAATTTGCTTAAAAAAAATAACTAGGCGCATCCATCCGCTGCCTGCTATCCTTTTATACTATAAGACATGGCTTCTTGCCAAATTTCATAATTCTAGGACGACAGAAATTACCGGGGTAATGGGAAGTAAATATGTATAGGGTTTCGATTCCATTACGTTAACTAAGAAGTTTGATTTTATTTCCACAGCTTTCCTGAGTATTTGATTTTAACTTGAATATACGATACGATATTAAAACTGCATGCATTTCTGAAAAAATAATAAAAAAGAGTGCGTGTATGAATGTGTACACGCGCAAGAAGTTAAACTTCCGTAGGTTATTGCCTATCGGTACTCTTTATGAAATTCAATTTGTTTTAAATAATTAGGAAAGGTGAGATACTAAAAATAACGCATATTACGCATATGCATAAAATCATATATTTATAGAATATAATTTAAGGAAACAATATAATATTGTATATCATCTGTCAGACAATAACACCGGTTACCATGGCTACGAACGTTCGCCTCGCCCGATTCACACTTTTCGTCACGCATTCACCAGCTGAACTAATGAAGTTTTACTTCAAAAAAGGTCTCGACAGAGCGACAGACAACTAAGTGACCCTATATATATGTGCGTACCTGGTGCACGGCGACGGCGGCGACGAGGCGCGCCACGTGCGGCAGCGGCGCGGCGGGCGCGTCGCGGCGCTGCAGCGCCAGGCGCGAGGGCGCGCGCTCGCCGCCCAGGTACAGCGCGCCGCCGTACGCCGCCAGCGCGCTCACCGCGCCGCCCTGCCAGATGATGCGGCGCCTGCCACAGGACACACGGCGTCTCGTTTATTACTTGCTAATGCAATACATGTTTATAAATAGGTACATTTTTTACTAAAAAAATTACATGTATTGAGTTCGAAACTTTATAAATACAGCTTTATAAACAACGACAAAAAACAGTTTTTTTTAAATTAATATATTTTTAAATAAATAAAAAACAAACATAAATATTTAAGTGTCACAGGTCACAGAACTTTTACATAATTCAACAACTAATCCCACGGTAATAGTTGATACAATATACTTAGAGTATTATTTAAATGTGGATTAATATAAGAATTTTATAGGATTCAATCAGCCACTTCTAACTACAAAAGACTTCGTTTCCCTCTGGTGTCACTATAAAACAACCAGTGATCTGGATCGTGATACCAAATATTTCACAAGAGTATAACGTGTATGCTACATTTAAACTTAACTAATCAGAAAGAACCAAACGATAGCGTGATTCAATAAAATCTATAGTTTTTAGAATTTTTGTTTGTCTGTCTGTTTGTTACCGCATCACGGAAAAATCACTAGAGGGATTTTGATGAAATTTGGTATGATGATAGCTGGTTATATGGGTCAATATATAGGCAAAAAACAACATATACTTTTTACTGCGGAAAAATATCTCATTTCTGAGAAATCTATACTAAACGTTAAAATGTAAGTAGGGACGAACCCGAGCGGAGCGAAGGTGAGTCGCTAGTAATATTATAAATGTGAAAGTTAGTGAGTATGGATGATTATTTGTCACTATTTCAAGCCAGAACGGCTGAACGGATCTGTATGAAAGGCACAGGGATATATTATAATCTGGAATAACACATAGGCCACTTTTTATCTCTGAAAAATATAGTGAAATAGTTATTAAGTGTAACAATAAAGATATCATCCTACGTGTTAGGCGCGTCGACGTCCGCGGCGTAGAGCTGGCGCGCCACCACCCAGTAGACGGTGGCGGAGGCCTGCTCCACGGCCAGCGCCGTGACGTTGCCGGCGCGCGCCAGCTCGCCGCGCGCGCCGCCGTCCGCGCCCGCGCGCAGCACCGCGCCCAGTCCCGCGTCGCTCCAGATCAGGATCCTGCAGGCGACAACGCGCACTTACATGTCATGTTCAATGTTCTGTACTATAATAATAACAGTGAACTATTGTGTGTGGGTGTGTGCGTGTATATGTTTGCATGTGCGAGAGAGAGAAATATATATAACACCTTTAATTTAATTCATTAATATTTATATACATCATGGTAAACATAACATACGATTAAAGAGCGACCAGGTCGACCACAACGGTTAGGCTGTTCGAGTAGCGGGAGTAAATAATTTGTCAGTTAAGGCTGCAGTATAACCTCACTAAGTGAGGGCAATCAATAATGGACGCAATAACAAACTTAAAAAAAATATGTTTATTTATATGACGCATACATCGTCACCTGGTGTATGGGTGGGTTTTCTCGTTAGTTTAAAAAAAATAACTTATCCGAAAAAGTATAGTTAAACCCAAAGTATAACGTAAATTTCGTTACAATTAAGAAATTACCTTTTAGTTTGATGAAAAGCCAGCAGCCGAGGCATCATATTTTCTCTCCTCAAAATGACTCCCATCGAGGAGTTATTATCAATGGATGTGGCATTAATCGAATCCGTGTCCAAGCACGTCCAGTACAAAGCCCTGCCCAGTATATCTAAGACCATGTGGAAAGGTCTCGAGAGACCGGACACGACCGTAGTGGAATCTGTGATGGCGGAAGTGGTCGAGTACGAGATAGGAACCCGTCTGATTGCGTGGGATTCATCGTCCATCCAATACAGGTTTCTGTAATAAGATTATATTTTGAGATATGATAAGTTGTTACGAAAATATTTGAGTTTTTTGTATATTTGAGAAACTTCAAAAACTTTTACGACACGTTTGGCCCAGTTTATACTGACCCTACTTGCTTCACCAGCGGTCGCGGGTTCGAGTCCAGCTGGGAGCATTAATTCGTATGATGAGCGCTAATGTTTGTACTCCAGTCACAGGATGTTTATATTTATAATTTGTATGTATTTAAAATTATATATGTGTAGTGTATCTGGTATCCATAACACAACCCTCGTAGCTTACTATGGAACCAGATGGTGCTGTGTGTTAAAACCCAAAAATATTCATTTATGTGTGTCTGTGTGTGTTTTGTCACGTTACGCGATATGTTTGACGATAATGAACATTGATCAAAAAAGTAGATAGTAGATACACAATCAGCGACAAAAAATGTCCTCATTGAATGAGCGCTCATTTAAACATTTGAGCGCGCTTTTAATTTTTTTTGTGAAAACAACTTTAAGCTGAACAGACTGTTAATTGTGGGTAGGCTGTCTGTAACAACTATATAATACCTTAGAGACATCTAACACCTCAGTCTCTCCCGTGACCATGATTTCTGTAAAGCATTCGAAACGTCGGGAACCAAAAATCAAAATAAATTCGCGAAAAAATCCGAAAAGATACTTTTATTTAAAATACAATAATATTGTTGCAAAATTTAGAGAAATAAATATAACTTACTTATTAACTGGGTCATATTCAATAGCTCTCACGCTTCTAAGTCCAGTTAAAGGAATGAAAGCTTCGTTACATTCGCCATTCGCAACTAAAATACGGCCAACGGCGTTTTTCTGCGCAAATAGCAAGAACTCTTCAGGTTCTGTAAAAATATCAAAGTTAATCAATAAAATTAATGTTCATGTTAAAAACTTTAAACCTACTCTAAATAAAATACAATCGTAATATTAAATAAATATACGAATAGGTAAAATAAAATTGAAGTGTCTGCAATGTCAAAGTAGCAGATTTTTACTAAATGCATATAAAATTATATACGGTATTTATAAGAAAAACACAATTATTAATATTTTTGCCTATCTGTTTGTTCCGGCTAATCTCCGAAATTACTGGACTCAATTTGACGGGACTTTCACTGGTATATAGCCGATGTTATAAGGAGTAACTTAGGCTACTTTTATTTTAAAAAAAAATTAGGGTTCCGCTCCAAAAAATTAAAACGTACCTAAGGACGCACCCGAGCGAAGCACGGATAAGTCGCTAGTATAATATTAATATTTAGATCAGTGTTACTAAGCGGTAACTGAGATTAGACATAAATATAGTATCATAAGAATTTATGTATGTTTAGTTGTGAATTCACCCCATTTTAACGTCCACCATTTTATTTAGCCGCTATCGCATATAATAATCCCCTAGATAGGTCATAAAGCTTAAAAAAGGGAGGTTATCGTTTTGACCTGTATGTATTTTTGTTGGAATTGTTTAATATTTACAAATTTTAGTCTATCAGGGCTTCTAAAGAAGCATACTAAATTCCAATAAATCTATTAGGTAGCTTATATTTATACTAATACTAGCATTGCCTGCGGCTCCGCCCGCGTTCAGATGACCAAAAACCAAATTCTTAGGTTTTACATATTAGTATACTTTTACATTGCAGTTTTTATATTTTTTATCAGAAATGAGACATTTTCCCGCTGTAAAAAGTATCCTATATGTTGACCCGAATAAGCAGCTATCACCATACCAAATTGCATCAAAATCCTTCTAGTGGTTTTTCTGTGATGCGGTAACAGACAGACAAACATTCTAAAAACTATAGATTTGGTCTCTGTATCGATAGTAATGTTTATTTTAATAAGATTTTCCAAAAGATATTTAATGTTCAGATTCGGCTTAGTTACAATTTTATTATATGTATAGATTATAAAGAGGTAAAAGTTTGTGAGTTTGTGATTTTGAATGGGGTAATCTCTGGATCTACTGAACCGATTTAGATAAAATTTGGCTAGTTTGAGACCCTGGGAAGGACATAGGATTGACTTTTTATCCCGGAAATCATCCCTTAAGGGGGTGAAAATGGGGATGAAAGTTTATATGGGGAATCAAGCTAGGGACAAACCCGAGCCAAGCCAGGGTGTGTCACTAGTAAGTATATATACTAAGTACATACCAGAACAAGTTAGATTGTCCCTATTCAAACGGTAATGCGTAGGACACGCGCACCGATAGTCGTTGTTGGGTAGCGGGAGACACAAGTGAGAGCAGCCACCATTGTCCACTCCACATTGGTTCGAGAGTGTATCCCTTGCTCTATGGTAAACTTTTAAATCGGATATATAATCTAGATCTTTGTGTATCACTTTCCGATTTGACCCGTCTGTTTTCTTTGCCACTTCTATTAGACCTGGAATCATAATAATATAGTACTTTGTTATAATTGAAATATGCTAGTAATATTGTGAAGTATGTAAAGGAGTAAATGGTTTTTCTCTACACTCATGCTATTTTTAATACAACACAATACACAACACTTCACTATATGAAATACCTATAAAAGTACAGATATTTTATAACCACTATAACAAAATTTTCCAGGTAATACTTAAATATAATTATCCTAAATAATAAAAGTTATATTTGAATTACTAATATATATGCAAAATTTTGTGTGTGTTTATACTGACTGAGCAGATTTGAATGAAATTGAGTTCACAGATACAGACTAAAACCTGTATAAATATACATAGGCTATTATTGAAGGTAACTCATATGTATGTTGGAACATAAACGCACACCACCATTTAGTTCCACAGTAAACTACGAGGCTTGTGTTATTGACACCAGATAGTTTATATAAATATATATATATATATATATATATATATATATATAACTTTAAATACAAACATATTATAAATATAAACACCCATAACTGGAGAACAAACATTTGTGCTCATCACACAAATGAATGGCTCCAGCCTCAGAACCCGCGACTACCGGCACAGCAAATAGGTTCACTATAAACTCAGACAAACGTGTCGTCATAACTAACTCATTAGTAATAAGTAAAACATAGTACATACCTGTAAGCCAATCCCCCCAAAACAGTCTATCTCCATACAAAGCTAGAGCGAAGGGCATAGACACATTATCTACCAACACCCTCCTCCCGGTGCCATTAAGGAAGGCTAGCTCTATGGCAGGCGGGTCTAACGCCGCCCAGTATAGGACTCGCCGCTCGTAGTCTATGGCTAGAGCCTGCACTTTGCCCACTTGCTCGAACACTATTGTGGGAGAAGACCCATCCATTGTAGCCCGCTTAATTGATTTTGAGCCGAGCTCCGACCAGTACATATAGCTGGAAATGAGTCATAACAACTTATTATAGAAAAATTAATATTATAATACGAATAATATAGGTTATAAAATAAATTATCGTTATTAGAAAATCATTTTTTTAATATTAGATAGTCATGATTAATTCTTAGGTTGAGGTGATTTGAAAAGATCCGGAAAAGAGTTGTATTTAAAACGTCAAATATTCGCGTAAGCCTCGGATCAGCCTAGATCACGAATTTGAGCTATAATTATAAAACCTTGGCATATTATACTAAACATTGAAAAAAATCGTGTGTCTGTACTTATGTACGCACGTAACAGGTTACACTTCTTCGGCGTAACAGAAGAAAAATAGCTTAAGATTTCATCCCGTATGTCACAACTAGAGAGTTGTATAGTTAGCTGCATTCCTTTTACAAATAGAGATTTGTAAAAGGAATGCAGTTAACTTCATCATGTCGGTATCAGCTAACTCCATCATGTCGCTTGTTGGCTGTCGGTGTGCGCGCGCATCGTAAAAATTTTACTCTCATAATTTTTTCCAAACGTGCCAAAAGCAATATAACTTAAAAAAATCTATAACGAAACTCACCCTTTCCGTGGATCTAAAACAATACTTTTAGGCTTTTTCAGTCCTTGCCATATAAGCGTGCGTCTGCTCGAGCCGTCCAGCCGCGCGACCTCTATCCGCTGCGTGGTGGTGTCCGTCCAGTAGATGTTCTGACCCGACCAATCTATTGCTAAACCTAACCAAAAGAGAAATAAAATTATATTTATGTTATGTATTTGATTTTTGCCTTGGAATCACTTTAAAGTCAATTTTTTAACTTAACTAACGCGAGTCACTGGATAGAATGTATGTACGAAGTTTTCACCTGTGTCGCCCAAGACTTTCAGAAAGTCAAAGAAACAAGGGATCGTGTAAAGTGTCTTTTTTTATATAAGCAGTCACACATTATTATTTTTTTTTATATGTTTGGATATTAACACCATGTAGTTCCATGGTAAGCTACGGGGCCTGTGTTATGGATACCAGAAAGCTAATACACTACACACATATAACTTTTAAATACAAACACCCACGACTGGATATTACAAACATTCGCTTTCATCACACAAATGAATGCCCCCAGCGGGACTCGAACCCACGACCATTGGCACAGCAAAGAGGGTCACTACGGACTGAGCCAAACTTGTCGTCGCTAGTTGGAAATAAAAACAAATATTAGTATACAATAAGCTCACCTTCAACAGATCCCACCCATTCCAATATCTTCTCTATATTGGCTCCATTGACTGAGCATCGATTTATTGTTTTACTCTTGCTGTCCGACCAGTATATCTTGGAACCCGATACGTGAACTGCTAAGGCACTGTAATGAACATTTTTGAATATAACAATTCGTTTAAAGATGTTTCTTTAGTTATAAAAGAATCTTAAATTACTATAATTATTATTATTACCTGCAATTTTTTTGAATTAAGTCCATTTTTGTTTCTGAAGCTCATTTCCGTTGGCGTTAAAATGAATTTTGTATTGTATTACATTAGAGCATAACTGCTTACATTTAAAATAAAACAAAATCACAGCAAAAAAAAAACAAACGACATAATATTTTTTCCTAGTCCGGATTGGATAAAAAAAAGACAAAAAAAAAACCCACAGACAATGTCTGTGGTGTGTTACGGACTAATTATAAAATAAAACATTCTCACCTGACTTCCTTCAACTCCCTGATGGGTAGCACGGCGTCGTTGTTTTCGTTCTCGACGCTAACTCGCCCGATCACATTCTTCCTGCTGTATATGAGAAACGCTTCTGGCTCTATACAGCTTTTGCTGTCGTTACCCAGTTCTAAGCCTGTATAGAGGAAATGTAGTTCTAATAATGAAAACGTACAATAGATGGCGTGCAAGTATTGGGTAATAAGATTTAATATTGCTATTATTGCGTTACAAAAAAAAGTTGAATAAATAACATGTTACTTTTTTGTATTACAGTGAAAATTAAGTAGAAAATGACTATATTCGTCAATTCTTGAATATTTTCAAAGATGATCAATGATTGATGACGATTCGAAAAATAATAATATATTTAAACCAAAAATTTAAATTAATTATTTATTTTAAAAATCAGGGCCACCTGAAAATGTTGAGTAAAATTTTTTTTTTCATAAGCTACAAATTCTACCTTCAAGGAAAGAAAAAAAAATTCGCTGTACATTAATACCTATATGCACTAAAGATACATAGCTAGTAACACCAATGTAAAAATAATAATTTGTTATTAACTATGTAAGTGGTTGACATAATACTTTCTTAGATTTACGCGAATATTTGACATTTTAAATAAAACTATCTTTTCGGATTTTGTCGCGGATTTATTTGCATTTTTGTTTCCCAAAGATGTTAATAATCACATCTAAGAAAGTATTATGTGAACCAGTACGGACTGGAAATCGCAAACCAAATACGCCGGTTAGAAGATCTGAAGACAAAGCGCGCAAGATTATTAACATCTTTGGGAAACAAAAATGCAAATAAATCCGCGACAAAATCCGAAAAGATAGTTTTATTTAAAATATGTAAGTGGTTGTTTGAGACTTATTCACATTGTAACGTTTCAAAGGATTTCAGTAAAATTCTTAAAACTTGACAAGACGATAAGCTTACGTTCTGGCTGTGTGGGCTACTTTCTACCTACCTACTACCTACAAAAGCGGAAGCATAGACAAAAAGTTAAAAAAAAAGATGATAAATAAATCCAGTTTTCTAGAAAAGCCGTGGTCATATCACTCAATAAAGAGAAAAGAGAGAGACATCAAAAGTCTTAAAAGTAAAAATCGTTTAAAATAACAGTGCATTGGCGTTAGTTAAATTCAAAAGGTACACGAAAATAATCTACTAATTTATTTTATATTGAAGCATGTTATTTTTTTATTGTAAGTCAAATCACGGGTTTCGCACCTCTGATATTTGTCTCTCTGATATTATGTGAATCATTTTCAACGTAATTACCACTTGTCTTACGGTGCATGCCTGAGAGAACCTAGCAAACCTGCATGGCTGAGAGAACCCAGCAAGTTTTCGAAAGACATCTGAAGTCCACCCGCACTTGGCCAGCGTGGTGGACTATGGCCTGATTCCCCTTGTATTGAAGTGAGACCCGTGCCCAGCAGTGGGACGTTAAAAAGGGCTGAATACATACATAAATACATACATACATACAAAATGTATCCTAAATGTTGACTCAAGTAATAAGTTATCACTTTTAAAAGGGCTGAATATATTTTATATTAAATAGAAGAACATACCAAGTGGACAACTGCACACGTAGTCACTAGGCCGGTTAAAGCACAGATGAGAACAGCCGCCATTGCTGTTTGAACAGGCGTTGTGGCCCAGCGGTTGCTTGAGACGGATCGCCTTCACGCCCATCATGTTCGCCATTTGCTCTACCACTGACTGCCTTTCACCACCTTCCGAATAAGTTAGAACATTAAAAACAAATTATTAGTACAATTTCAATCCTGAGAAGAACTAACCAAAAGAAACTTAGCGTGACTAAAATTAATAATACATATTAATCGAATCCAGTCGAATCCAGGATTTCCGGACATAGACTACAGATTTACAATTTAGTCACTTGCATAAATGTAATATGAGTTATTACGTAATTCTATGATCTACATTAAATCAAGAATAGATGTAATGGCTAATCTCCTTGCTCTAAAAAATTTTTTACTCAGTCAGCTTTCGTATTAACTCTGTAAGTTATATGTAAGCAGATAACCTTACTTTAGGTCTCAGATTTTCATACTTACATATCTTGATATAAGAAGTTTTGTATTTAATATTAGATCATATAAAATACTAGCGACTCACCCTTGCTCCGCTCGGGTTAGTCCCTACTTACGTTTTAACGTTGAGTATATATTTCTCGGAGATGAGATATTTTCTTGCAGTAAAAAGTATTCTATATGTTGACCATATCATCATACCAAATTTCATCAAAATCCCTTCAGTGCTTATTCCGTGATTCGGTCACAGGCGGACAGACAGACAAAAATTCTAAAAACTATAGATTCGGCCTCTGTATCGATAATAATGTCTATTTAAATAAGATTATCCAAAAAATATTTCATGTACAGATTCAGCTTAGTTACAATTTTATTATATGTATGTATAGATTAACAACAATTATAATACCTGTATCTTTATTGATTCTATCTAAAGTCCGTCGCTGCATGTCAGTCCAGTACAATTGTTGTCCGAGTAATGTCAAACCGAATATGTGGAGAATATCACTGCTGTGTAATTCCGTCCTATTTGACCCATCCATATTGCACACCTAAAAATTAAGCAGGTAATATAATCAACTTGCCTAAAATGCTGACCGAATCAGTTTATATCAGGGAATATGTCATTAAATGCAATTAAAAAATGGACCACATTGAATATAAGGAAAGAAATATATTTAAATACCGCATATCTATGTGTAGACAAATGTAATAAAAATTTACAAAAAAGTCAAAACAATCAAAACCAATATTAACTATTTTAGACCAAATTTCATCTAGATTTTAGATGTCTATATATTAAATACTTACTTAGGTGTGTTTTAAATAAATAAAAAAAAAATAGTTATCATGAGTGTAGGTAGTTAGTTATCCATACAAAATTACAACCCCTATTTCATTCCATTTAAGTTTAATTTTCGTCTATGTCCTTCTCCAAGGTTCTATCTATACCAAAATTCATCAAAATTGGTTCAGTAGGTTAGGCAAAAGTTACAGACAGACAGACAGAGTTACTTTCACATTTATAATATTAATTGGATAAGTATCCAATATTTCATACCTCAATTTTATGCATCCGAGCATCACCCCAATATAGCTTATTATTCACAGTATCTAAAGCTATGCCATTTGGCCAGGTGAGTTTTTCAGATATTAATAATCTTCTATCGGTGCCATCTAAGTTGGCTCGTTCAATCTTAGGTTTCTTTTCATTCCAGTCCGACCAAAACATCCAGCCGGCTGTAGGGTGAAGGGCAATGGCACGCGGGTTGTAAAGATCGTCGTGGATTATTACCTTTAAAAAAAGGGATTACGTTAAAAAAAATATAAAAAAAAACTATCATCTGAATAGGTAAACCAAGTTGGTTTACAAGTGACAATTCTATCTGTAAAGTTGGTATTTTTTTTGAAATTCATATATCGGATGACCTAATCGTAAAGAAAATCATAAAAATCGGTTCATAATTATCAGCAAAAATATCACGTACCATACACATAAAAACTATAATATATCTTTAAATACCACCTTTTTTAATGTCGGTCTATAAATACTAATCTAAAAGATAGGTCTTTAAACCTACTCATTTTCACATTGAGGAATAACCACACTAAGCAGTGAGACACTAAAACAATTGAATTATTATTTGAAAAGAACTTAAAACATACGCCTTTACCTTTCTAGAGCTTCCATCCAGCCGTGCAACAGTGATAGTATCTGACACTGGGTCAGTCCAATATATGTTCCTTGCAAGTGGATCTATTGCAATGCTGTCAGGCTTACCGCTGCTGTGTATTACTACTGACTGTTCACTGCCATCTAGACGCGCTCGAGATATTGTTTTAGACTGCAATTATAATAAAACGACGTCATATATTTATGCTCTTTAAATTATATACTAAGAAATTAATTAAACATTTAAGCAGTGGAAACCATTTGTTTTTAGGGCACTTGGAGAATATAATAAACTAAAACTCGAGGAGTAATTTTCACATGTGCATTTTAAATTCAAATAGTGACTAAAGAAAAAGGAAGAGTAGTACATAATGTATTGGCGCTGGAGTGCTAGTAAAAACACTAACAAAAAACTATGTAATATTCAACAATCTTGCTAACACTAAGCAAACTACTATTCTCTAATTAATTTTATTCTAATTAGAAATAAAGTACCGTTCAATTTAAAAAATGAATTTTAAAATCACATAATGCAATTTTATTTAAAAGTATGGATTTGCTAAACAATACTTACCAAACTATCTGCCCAATATATATACTCGGTCTTTTGATCAAAATCAACTGTTAGGGCTTGTTTCAAATCTTTCAGCGGCAAAGGGTAAGGAGTGAAGTCGGATGAATCAAGAGATATTTTAGATATCATAGATCTTTGGGCTACTAGTAATAACGATTGAGGTCCATTGTAACAAGTTGTGTTACTACCCTCCTTTAACTTTACACCCGTTGGGCAGGCACATACATAGCCTGTAAAAAAGAAAACACAAATATCAACCCACATAGAAAATTGGATTTAGGTGACTGTATGGATTAGAAGTTTTTAATTTTTATTTAAAACTCTCTTTCTGATATTTTCGCGGAAAAACCGAAAAAATCCGAAAAGATAGTTTTATTTAAAATGTCAAATATTCAGGAAAATTTAAGAAAGTATTCAGTTTTTAATTCTGTAATTAAAAGTAGAACTTCTGAGTTTACCATATAGGTATTTGTTCTGATCTAATTAAAACAAACTTATTGTGCTATTTTATAAATATAAATTTACATTTTATTGTAATGACTTAGTAAATTCAATTTTAAACTATGTAAAGGTAAGTAATAATTGTGTTTTATTTTACTAAAAGTGGCACCTCTTAAGTATTATTAAATAACAAATAAATAAGTCTATTGATAACTATCCGATAATTATCAAACATATATAATCTTAGCAATCCTTGTGAAGGTATTGGCATTTGACTACTTGTCTCTCATAATTTTCGTTAGAATAAATTATACACTTTTAACAATCAAGGTAATTTTTTTTTATTAATTTTGACATAGAAACCAAAACAGAATAAATTTAACCAACTACAAAGGGACTATTTTTAATTAAATTAATGGGTGAAATATCATCCTCATCCTCAGTTCTCAGTTTGTTGATTGAGTTTTTTCAGCTGATTGAGAGAGTTCAGTTTGCTGATCGACAATTTAAAGTTGCAAATTCGATTATATTTATCAAAGATAATTATCAACCTATACTTATCATGATAAATATTATGATAATTATCATTTTGAACCCAGGGTTCTATTGTGTTAATAATAAAGACTTAATATAATAGTTTTACTCAAATATCTTCCATGTAAAGACAGCGATCTATTACACTTTTAGTATATTATATATATTTGTCTTGTTAAAAGATTTGAATATTAAATTATAATAACTTACCAGGTGAATATGGAGCTAAAAGGCACAAATGTGAGCATCCCTCGTTATTCTTACATGGATAGTCCCCACTAGGCATTACTTGCCGACTGTTATCATATACTTTGATATCTACTGGCGCAGAGTCAGACCTCAAAACTTCTTTTAAGCCAGTGTGAGTATTAATATCCCATGTGTATATTATCCTATAGAAGAATATATGTATTGAGATTATTCTTAAAAAAATTAAAGGCAAAACTAATTTTTAAAGTCATTAATTTAATATAAGAATTTTTATAGAATATATTATGCAAAAATGTCATAATTTTTTACAATAAATAGCATCATCATCAAAAATAGCACAGCTATCACATCAAATTTCGTCAAAATCCCTCCAGTGGTTTTTCCGTGATGTAGTCATAGACAGACAGACATACAAAAATTCTAAAAAATAGTAGATTCAGCCTCTATATTGATAATATTGTCTAATTTAATAAGATTTTCCAAAAAAATATTTAATGTATAGATTCAACTTAGTTACAATTTTATTATATGTTTAGAATACTTAAATATACTAAATTACTTAAACTTACATAGTTTCCCAGTCAGTCCAGTATAATCGTTCATTGAAAAAAGTTAAAGCATAAGGATATTTCAAACCTTCCTTGATTACCCTTTTTCTTTTATTGCCATTAAAGTCTATAACATCTAAAAATTGTAATTTCGAATCTACCCAGTATATTAAATTATTATTGTAGTCCACTGTGATGCCATTCGGCCAAAAAATATTGTCTTTCACTATTACTTTTCGAGTGGCTGGGTCTCCGTTCATACCAGCTCTTTCTATTTTAGGGATTTCACCCCAGTCTGTCCAGAACATTAATCTATAAAATAATATACTGGCATATTTACAATAAATATATTAAATCAGTACATTTACATTACAAAAATAATACATATAGTTATTAGTGAAATTAATTTTAAATAAATTTATTATATATTTATCTGTTCAAATATATGTTTTAGAGCATTATTCAAGCTTTCTACTAAGATTATTGTAATTTGATTGCTTTTTAGCAACCTCAAAACATACCCATCCTTAGGAACAACAGCAATTGCCCGAGCCAAGTCAATATCTGACCAGAACAGGACTTTTCTGTACTTTTGATCTATGCCAATGACTTCTATTCTGTTAGTTTCACCATCCGTCCAATATATTTTCTCTGTGTACCAGTCAATTGCAATACCAGATGGTGTTATTAAGCCAGTTGAAACTATTCTCATCTGTAAAAAGGTATTTAATTTTGTACTTCACTATGGATTATATATTTTATGTTTTAAACAAATACAGTTTTTTTCTATTGATACACAAAAAATGGTGTACCATATTTAGAAATTTATAATAATTAGTAATAATTATTATAATGATTAAAAAGCTTAAATTAGTGCTTACTTTCTGTCCTGAATGTGTATTGTTGTACTCCATGCATTGTATTAATTCCGCGGTTTGTTCTGACCAGCATATCAAATTCTTTCTAAAGAGAAAATCAACCGCGGAGCCTTGCTCTAATCCTTTAATAACAGCACTATATTTAACTATTTTAGAAGTATTTGCTACTCGAATATTGGAAGCCGTCGAATATAATAACACAGGATTACTTACACTCGAGTAGTAACCTGATAAACAAACAAATACAATTGTCATTAAACAGAATGAGCGAAATTTATGAATTAAATTGCATTGATATAGTTTAAAATCTTACCTTTTAATTGCAAAAACATTAATAAACAAAAGACGTATATAACATTTTGTATAATTCTGTCGGCTTGAACTATTCTTCGGCGCTTCGTCATAATGAAAACAAATGAAGTCCGATCATGGAACACCTCATGAGTTTATATTAATATTGCACTTTAACTTATAAGGCACTGTTAGGAATTAACGCATCACAACTAAAAACAAATCCATTAGTATTTATATAATGATGAATTTATAATGGTTAGAATTATAAACTCCAGAACATGATGAGCATTGAGCTTGGAATATTCATGGAAAAGATCAACAAAGTAGTTAGTGAATAGATACAGACTAAAAATATTGTAATGTTAGACTTCGTTAATTTTCTACAGGTAACACAAAAGATAAGATTTTACCAATCTAGACCTATGGTTCGCTAAACTAAACATATTATAAACATTCAACGTAATGTATCTCAATATCACTTGATATACAGTACTATATAATATGATAAGTATTGTGAATTTTCTATTTTTAATATAAGATTCATTGTTAAAGACTACAGCAGCGTCATCTATTATCATAGTTACGTAAATGTTATATTTAAGTAAAGCTTGAGCTCGTTAATCGTTTGTAATCAGTAATTTATTATTTAATCTTACACCGGCGATTTTAGTAGATCAACAATAACAAAAGACAACGTAAATGAGTACGTTCAAAAGGTTTTGAACAAAACCATATTTAATTTTTCATCATTTATCTTATTGCCATTATGCTGATCTTCGTATATCGCCTAGGTTGGACGCGAATCGTTGCTCTGTAGAGCATCTTGTCTTGCTCCAATTTTTGGTTTTGTAGCTTGGTAACTATAAACTGAGGTATCACCGGTTATTCAATAATCGCCTGTCGCTAGAAAGTGACATTGGCGAGTGTACGCCAGGCGAAGTAATCTGTGCTCAACTGATACGCTTTAAGGCTAATAACAAGAAAATTGAATTGAATAAGTATATCTCATGTGCGTTCTACACACTTTAATTTTATAGAATTAAGTACTCCGCTCTCGTAGCTCGTAGAGTGATGTAAGAAAGGCTGCACCCTTCCTCTATAATATTTTTTATTTAAAAAATATTATTAGTAGATTTAATTAAAAAATCTCAAATTTATAAGGGTGATATGTGATCGTTATAGAGATTGAAAAATATTTGCGCCCCGACTGAGACGTACGAAAAGCTTTATTGTTAAATTTAATAGTATAAAAGATCCGCAATCAGATAAAATCTTTAATTAAAAATACTTAAATAATTCTTATTTTTAATTTAATTAATTTTTATTTTTAAAACATACGATGTCTCGATACTTTTTTGTTTGACATTTTTAGAATGTATGTGGATAGTTTTTTTCCAATAAAAGGTTTTATTTCATTACTGGCCCAATGCAAAATGAAAAAGATCCACCAGAGCTTCTTTTGCAAAATCACTCGGACGTGTTTGATCAGGACCAGTTATGGTGTAGCTCAATTGTGCTGATTCTAATCGCTGAGAATGTTCGTAATCTTTGATCGATGGAGTCAGGTATTGATCAAAAATAAAGTCAATTCTTAGCGCTTCAAATTTGATGACCATTTGCAACATTTCATGGTGTGTAATAAATGCTATGCTAGCAGTTTTATGAATCATCTAATTATTACCCAAGTATTATATATAAAAATCAGCTTTTATACTATAACGTAAGTAGAATTATGATTTCATGAAAAGGTTGTCTGGCAAACGTTTGCCACGATGTTAAGTGTCTGCCATTGAATGGCGTGATTTTTAATAATATTCTGAAGGTAATACCAAAAAATCACACTTTATTATTTGACGAATTTAGATCGGTATTTTACACACCTTTAGTACCGTGTACCTGCCAAAGCCACGATAGTCTGAACTTCATAATGGTCCATCGTTCTTATCTGTGTTGGGAGCATGCGCTGACAAACTTTCAGCTTTTATAAAATGACAAAGGTCTGGCGTTCACGGGCTCTTAGGCCATAGCGACAACCATATCACCATTATCACCAACCATTCAACCCATAACTAGCAACTCACCCTCGCTTTGGTCGGGTTCGTCCCTAGGTATATGTTTTTAGCGGAAGCCTAATTCTTTTACTGAAATAAAAGTAGCCTAAGTTACTCCTTATAATATCAGCTATCTGCCAGTGAAAGTCTAGTTAAAGTCGGCCCAGCCGTTTTGGAGATTAGCCGGAGCAAACAGACAGACTAAATTTTTAAAGATTGTGTTTTTCTTATAAATACTGCATAATATAATTAATTGCATATGCATTTAGTAAAAAGCTGTTATTTTGATATTACATATGGTGAACACGTCAGCGTCCTGCAGTTCAGCCGGGTGCGAAGCTATAAAGGAACGCACAGGAAGGTGGCCCACTTCGGTGGGCGGTGTACCATGCGGGTTGCTCCTGGTACTTCTCTGATAGCAGAGTGGACTATTGGAGTAACCCCATAATTGTTGTGGTCTGTCTGGCAGACCTGCCGTCAGGGCGTCGTGGTTGAGTGCGCAAGCGATCCTGCGATGCCCTATTAAGACGGGAAAGGTTTTGTTGGGTTTTAATGGGTAGTAGGTACTGGCTTTTGTAGCCGGTGAGTCCCACATAACCACCTGTATGTCTATAGTGTAAATGCATTTCCCAACATAAAAGAAGGGAGTATCGCTTTCCTCTAGATATTGAAATATGTGTATGTTTGCCAAGAATTTCTTCAATAGATTTTTAACGATATAGATATATTCGTTAATCAATAAAAATGCCTGATTAATCAACATAAATTTAAACTGATAAAGTATGTTTGTTATAAAACTGCAATAATTGTACTTAAAGTTCTTTATTATATTGTTCTGTTTAAATACAAAGAAAACGACAACAATATTTAATATCTGTCCCAAAGGAACAATGTTTCTCTCATATTCCTGAGCATTGCTTTGTTAACATACTACAGAGTAAAGACTTGCCCGTAATGCAAAGTACACAGTTAAAAACAAGTCTAATCATTTCATTTCTTTGGCGTATGAATATAGTTTTGAATGAATCACAATGTATTTTTTTAATGTTCCATTAAATAAATAAGAGGCATTTCTTCTCAGTCGACTTGTTAAGTTTACATAAATATTTATCTATACGATCTCTCTACTTCATAAACTGTATGATGATGATGATGTTCTCCTAGCCGATTCCGGCTACGGCGGCCAATCTCATTGAGATTAGCCAACTGCGCAGGAGATATTATAGTGCACTAATGTACGCGCAGACACAAGTGCACTCTCTATTCCTATCACTCTCATACTCCGGTGGGACGACCACTCGACACGACCGGTGAGAGTTAAGGCGCAGGACCGACGGCTTTACGTGCTCTCCGAGGCACGGGGGTGAAACACCGCCAACTTCCCAACTCCGGGCTGTTACTGAGACTTACTATACAGAAAGACTCAATAACTAAACTTGGCCCGACCCGGGACTCGAACCCAGGACCTCCGGATGTGCAGCCGTACATGCTAGCCACTACACCACCGAGGCAGTTGAAACATAAACTATACATATAATAAAACTAGCATTGCCCGCGGCTCCGCCTGCGTTCAGATAACCAAAAACCAAATAAAATAGTCCTATTGTAATTTTTTTTCAAAATAAGCCATTTTTATTAGCCTTATTTAGTAAGTTACCTTGCTAAAATATATATAGATTTCGTCGTGATTTTATTCTAACCAGTTTTTGTATTTTTTCTCAGAAATGAGATATTTTCCATCGGGAAAAAGTATCATATAGTATATGTTGACCCGGATAACTAGCTATGACCATACCAAATTTCATCAAAATCCGGATGCGGTAACAGACACAGGCAGACAAAAATTCTAAAAACTATAGATTCGGCCTCTGTATCGATAATAATGTCTATTTCAATACGATTTTCCAAAAAATATTTAATGTACAGATTCGAATTAGTTAGAATTTTATTATATGTATAGATATAATAAAATTGTAACTAAGCCGAATCTGTAGTAAATATTAAGATGTTTGGTAAGAATATAGTTTGAGACCCTTGAAAGGACATAGGACACTTTTTATCGCGGAAATTATCCCTTAAGGAGGGTGAGAATAGGGATGAAAGTTTGTATGGGGAAGCAAGCTAGGGACGAACCCAAGTGAAGTGAGGGTGAGTCGCTAGTTATTTATGGAAATAGTAGTGATCATCTGAAATGACGTCAATGAGTCGATGGAAATTGTTGTCATCGAAAATTAAGCGACAAGCGATACCAATAGTGATTAACTTTCCGTTGATACCTACTCATATAACAAAGTCTAATTCCTAACCGAACTTTTCTTGTGATTATGACTTTAAGCTCAAATTAATTGAGAAAGTTGTTACTTCGACTATACTGAACTAGTTAACATGTAAGTCTATGATTTCAAGTAACAATTAAATTTTTGTGTTATTACAAAATACATACATTATGGATAGGGAATGAATGAATGAATTATGGATAGTACCTACTCATTGAAGTTGTTAACGAATGAATCTACACTGATATTTGCGTAAAGTTTATTTAACAAAATTGAATCGAATGAATAATAAATAAGTGCCACAGCAAGCGTTCAATATTTAAATCCACAAAAAGTGTTTTAACATCAACGTGACAAAATTAATTCATTTTATTGTAGGTGCAACAGATTGAATGAAATACCTACTATATGTAATTTAGAGATTTAATGTTCGACTTTCGAGTGACGTAAATAAAAAAAATAATATAAATTAATTATTTATCTGCGTATGTAGTTAAGAGTTATATACCTACAGCTGTCAAGCCCAAAAAATTACTGTAATTAAAATAGTTAAATTTTACTTATGGCTTTAATAGTATTAATTATTTCAAATTTAGGACAACTTTATTATATTCGAGTAATAAGCTCGAAATTTAATATTCTATTCTGTTACGTCGTTAAGAATTCTGTACGATAAATTCATCATAAGAATAATTTAGATATCACAATCTC